AAGAACATTTATTCCCCAAGTCCTGGTGCCAACCCTCCCCTTAAATAAAAGATAAAAAACAAGTTTGATTCGGATTTTCATGATTGGCAACAGTTTGTGTGTTCTCATTTCGCCTAGGCAATTTTATCGGTCTCTAAGTGAAAGCTGACTTATTTCAACCTTTCAATTTTTTTGGCCCACTCTTGAATGCTGAAATTCATCACGGTTTTGTAGATTGAGTTTATCAGTTTAGCATTTCCCTTCTGGTCTTGTCTGGTACAGGAGGTTTGTCTGCTCTGTTTTTGTTTTTTAGTATGGCAATCATTATCTCTAGCAGAAGGCACTCATACAGGGAGTGACCAAATTTCTTGATCTTGCTTCCATTGAAGTCATTGGGACTTTTGCGATTAACTTGAAGGGAAGTAGGATTGGCTCCATTGCATTCCTCAGCCCAGAAGAAAAAATGAGTCTCCATTGCATTCCTCAGCCCAGAAGAAAAAATGAGTCACTTCCATCCATACCTGATTTCAGTGCCTGGGAACATGGAGACCATGTTTGTTCTGTATGCTATGTCTCAACATTGCAATGTATAGTGCCTGTGCCAAATCATTTAGATACAACCCAGTTCTGAGTCATCCAAATGCTAAGTTCCTATTGTCTTTAAGGGGAGTTTGGGTTAATGAGAAAACTGGACTTTTTAGCGGCCAAAAATGTAAAACCATGCTTAGGCTGAAATATCTTCTGAGGTCTTTATTAAAAAAGCAACTTTTTTGTCTCCTATGGCCTGATGCCAGTTCCAACTTAATATACCCAGAATTGAGCTATTTATCTCCTAATCCTATCCATTTCCTCCTGCCTCCAGTGCTCTTGACAACACTATTCTATAATTTCAGTGATGTCTTTGATTCTTCTTTCTCTCCCTGTTACATCCACGCTGTCCCCAAACCTGCTGCTCTGTTTCCTTCAACATAGCCAAAACTTCTTCTTTCATTTATGTTTCCATGGTGGACATTCGTCTACATCTCCATTGTATCTGCCTTGATTGCCACGAACTCCCCTTCTCTACCTGATACTCATAGTGCTTCCTTATATGTTCAAAAGGGATTAGCAAATAATTTAGCTTCTTAATTCTACCATAAAGCTCCCTTCTTTAAATTATATGTGGTTCATATAACAAATTTAATTCACTCAATCTTGCTTCCTCTATAATATGAATCTGATTATAAATAGGGGAAAAAGCAAATATGATCTGTTTGGAAACTAGCAACAGAAAATGGGGAAAAAAGCTCTTATATATAATTATTTTCATTATGGGCAGTACATCATAATCTCAGGTACTGTTTATAATATTTTACTATTTCTCTTGGCTATACACTGTAATTCTATCCATTACTGTACACACACACACACCTTCTCACTTATGTGATAATATGTGTTTTTGAATATTTTGGGTATACAAGTTTTTGTTTTTTACAAATGTATACATTTTCTTAATTCCCAGATCTTTTTATCTCTTGTTTATGCTGCTCATCACCATTGTGAAACTGTTTTGAATTAATTTATGTATCCTAATATCCTCATTAAGAGATTCTGCATTCCACTTTCTGGTTTTGTATAGCTTATGCTAATTTCTGTTGGCAGTATAGATTATTATAGTGGGAAATAGGCAATGAGAGTGATCAGGATCATAGAAAAGCTTATGTAGAAAAGAGTTCTGTAAAGTTAGTGATCATTTATCTTAAAGAAGAGAGAGAGACAAGAGTACAGGGGGCATGATACAAATATATAAACTGGCATAAAGACTGTCAATTAGCATCTTACATTCTCCCTGGTTTTTTTAACCCTGTTTCCTAATGTAAGAGTAAGGAGAAATTCCTTAAATTAGAAGGTAGTAAACTCAAACTGATTAAAGCAAATGGTGTGTTTTGCAAGATGTCTATCTAGAACAAAATAGGATTCAAAAGATATTAGATGTTTATATAGATAATGAGCATCCAGAATTATAATAGCAAATAGAACATAAATGAGGTGGTGGTATTGTTTTTTGTGGGGAGGGGTTTCAACCTTCATGCTTCAAAAGCAAAGCACTCTCTAATGTTTGGGATTTAGGAGGGCAAGTTATGAAAAGTCTACTGCATTTGAACCTTTGGACTAGATTAATCACTGGTATGATTAATGCTGGCCCATCCAGGAGGGGCCAGCAGGGGACTGCATGCTTAGGGGCAACCAACATGGGTTCATCAGTGGCAGGTCCTGTCAGACCAACCTGGTGGCCTTTTACGATCAGATCACCAGATCATTAGATGCAGGGGTAGCAGTGGACATAGTCTTCCTGGACTTCCGGAAGGCTTTTGACACTGTCTCTCACCCCGTTCTCATTAAGAAACTGGGGGGCTGTGGCATAGACACCCACACAGTTAAATGGGTCGCCAACTGGCTGAGGGGCCGCACCCAGAGGGTGGTAGTGGATGGGTC